CAATCAATCAGCGTTTATTTCAGCTTGAAATACAAACTGAGGGTGGCAAGAAAAAAGCAGTGTCGTCCACTGCTTGACGGGCCTCGCCACCCTTACAAGTCAGCAGTGTAAACGCGGTAAAAAATAATATATATATACAAAATGAACAATACAGACAAAAATGAGAAGTACAGACAAATTATAGAAAAGCGTTCCTAAGGACAGAAGAAGACATACCATTCAAGTGATCACATAGAGGAGTATTCAAAAACTTAGGCAAGATATATCGCAACTTTGTAAAGCCATAGTTCGTTCTACATCTAGGTAAAACAAAGCTGTCTTTTTCCCTGGTTGCATAAGGCGTATTGTGGGGCACAGTAGAAACAATACGTGAAAGAAAATTATCGTTTTTAGCTATACTATTTTTGTAAAAACACGCGAATCTATATTCAAATAAATTATATACAGGCACAATTTTAAACTGCGAGTAAGCCTGCCCGGTTGGGGAATTATATGGAGCTTTTGTAATAGCACGTAGCATTTTCTTTTGCAAGATCAGAAGCTTCTGAATATTGGATGCTGTGGTATTACCCCAGACAAGAAAACAATAGCTTAAATATGAATAAAAGAAAGCGTAATACAAAGTAAGTTTAGTTTTTTTCAGGTAGAACGTACTTATTACGCGAGGTTATTCCTACAACCTTAGAAAGGGCAAGACAAACCTCGTTTATGTGGGCGTCCCATGTCATCGTTGCGGTAAAACTTACACCGAGGGATCTAAACGTTTCTACATACTCGATAATGGTGTCACTCAAAACTAAAGGCGGTGGGTGCATTACAAGCTTTCCTTTAGGACGAAATATTACAGCTTTAGTTTTTTCTTTGTTGATTTTCAATGAGTTGACTAATGACCACCGTGATAATAATGCCAATACTCGGTTAGCAGTGCCAGTTAGTTGTTCAACGTCAGAGGAGGAAAAGAAAAGGCTCGTATCATCAGCGTAAATAACGTACTTTGCAAGGGTACTAATATTGGAAATGTCATTTATATATATATTAAACAAGAGTGGTCCAAGGATGCTACCCTGAGGGACACCATTAAAAATTTGAAGGGAATCGGAGCGAGAGTGGTTTATTACAACATATTGTAATCGTGAGCTTAAATATGATTTTATAAGGTTGAGGGCGTGTCCTCGTACGCCGTAATGCTCGAGCTTAGCGATAAGTATTTTATGATTTACAGTATCGAATGCCTTACTAAAGTCAATAAAAATGCCAAGAGTAAGACGTTGTGATTCAAAATTGTTCAAAATATATTCTTTTTGGGCAAGCAAGGCGTGTTCCGTTGATCTATTTTTAGTAAACCCATATTGGCAATCGGATATTACAGAATGCTTTAAGAAGAAATGATTGAGGCGGCGATGAATTATTCGTTCTAACCCTTTAGAAAAAAACGGAAGTATAGATATTGGTCTATAGTTACCGAAGTCGTTCTTATTTCCTTTTTTATAAATTACGGCTACTCTGGCTAGCTGCATAGCTGTTGGAAAGTGTCCCGTCATAAGCGCTACATTATAAATATGTGTTAGACATGGTGTAATTATTTGTAAAACATATTTTACTGGGCGACTTTGTATATTATGAGAGTCGAGGCTATTCGTATCTTTCAGACTTTTGAAAATTGAAAAAACCTCAAGCTCGTCAGTCGGTTCAAAAAATATTGATTCTGTTAACCTATCACTTAGAAAATCAAAAATGCCGGAATTATAGTGACTGTCACCTACAGTCGAAAAAAAGTAATTGAATGATGCAGCGAGATCTGAACCCGATAGCTCAGTTCCATTAACCGTTAAGCTTGTGATCGCTTGGGTATTAGTATGTCTATTCAGGAGCAAATTTAGACGCCTCCATTTTTCCTTAAGATTGCTAGAAGTCTGGCGACCAAAGAAATTATTATAATACATGTTTCTCGCCAATTTAATTTCCCTGTTTAGTCGGTTGCGTAAGGACTTATATTCTGCGAGCACGGTAGGATTTTTGTTTTTAATAAATATTGCAAATAATTTGTATTTCTTTTTAACGAGTCTAATTAAACGTCTAGTCATCCATGGTTTACGCGCACTTTTGCATGGTTTTATTTCTACAGTGGGAAAACATTCATTATATACTGATGTGAAGAGCTCTAGAAACCTGTTAAAAGCATCATCTGCAGCTGGCTCATTATAAATAGGGCTCCAATCCACCAAGGAAATACGGTACTTAAATAGGTCGAGCCTTTCTTGAGATATTAGCTGGCGTCTCAATTTAGCGACATCGTTCGAACAAGTTGCTTTTTCTATACGCAAGAAAACAGGTAAGTGATCGCTAATATCGGCAGCGATGCGACCGGAAAAGAATGCGTTGTCATTATTAGTAATAATTAAGTCTAAAGTGGAAGCAGAAGAAGCTGTAATGCGCGTTGGACTGTTAATAACATTTTGAAAACCTGTTGAATGAAGTGTGAGTAACATTTGCTGTTGCATTGGGCTATTCGTACCCATATCAATATTAAAATCGCCAGCTATGATGGACAAATAATTTTCAGAACTAAATAAAAACGTTTCACGTTCAAATATCTCCCAAAATTCGCCAAAGTTTCCATGAGGTGGTCGATAGACAACCGAAAATATATTACGTCCAGATTTCACGGTAAGCATTTCAATATCAGAGTTGGAAAAAGAGTGATCAGATAACATATCACAGGCATAGCTACTTTTTATCAGCATAGCTACGCCCCCGCCACGCTTTTCTGTGCGATTGATATAAAAAGAATTATACCCCGGAATACGTACAACATCACTATCAGCCCGATACCAAGTTTCAGACAAGAAAATGACATCGAAAGAACACGAGGAACGCGTTAGATCGTCTAAGAGGACAGTTAGCTCATCAGCTTTATTCACGGCAGATTGCATGTTAAGATGTATAACTTGAATATATTTATTCGCATCTAGTGCTATAGACGCATTAAACTCAGAAGGTGTGAAAAGAGGGGTGTCATTCATGAGGGTATAAAGAATCAGGTAATAAATCTATGAAACAATGGCGCCATTTACGTCATTTTGGACAAGTCAATCAGAGAATAGATCCGGAGGACATTAGAGTCGTCTGTCTTCCGTGCGAAAACAGCGCCATTCCTTGTCCACACGTGCTTCCAAGATACTTGTTTCTTTCTAGAAATCGTAGCACCAAGTAGCCGTTTGTTTTCTGGCGTTAGATGCTCATTAACATAGACACGCTGGTCTGGTCCTTCGAACCCGATTTTAGAAGTAGACAGTTTCAGCTTCTTGGCAGCGGCCAGGAACACGTTGCGCTTTGACCTAGACATGAACCTGACAATTATGTTTACTTCGTTTTCTTTTTTGGTTGGAACGCTGTGGGCGATGTCGATTTCAGCAAGGTCAAGTGGGACTTCGATAGCCTCTGCGATTTTTATAGCCATGTCGTGTGCTCTTTCTCTGACAGTGGCAGGCAGGCCCTTAATCTCAACGTTATTCAACCGGCTGTATTGTTCCAACTCAGAAATCCGTGCTTCAGCTTTCATCAACTTTTCTGTTAGGGTGTTATTTTCTTTCTTTAGCTCAGCATAGTCTTCCTTGGCCTTCTTCACTTCAGATGTAAGAGCGCGTAGCTCCGTTAAGGCTTTCTTGAATTCGTCAGCAGCATTCGAGCTGTATTCAAGGCTCTGATGTACTGATCGTAGTTCTGCACGCATCTCGCGCTTCAAATCCTGAATGGCTTTCATAACCTCAGCACAATCAGAGCTCATGATAGGCGAACCGCGCAAGAAGCACAAAACACTCAAAGCAGTCAAATCAGTCGGCTGTGGCAAAGAGAAAGGAAAGGCTTTATGTAGGTGCAGCCGCACTCACCTATGAATGTGAAGCAAAACAGTAGAACAGTCAGTGTTTCTGTTCGCTGTGCCACTGCCGACTGGAAGTACAGTTCGTGGATGGTGCGCTTTTCTAGCACGGATGGTGGTCACGTGCTGATGACGTCCCAGGCAGCCGCTCCACAGACGGTGATGATGTGGCACACTTCTCTTGCGTCGACGAAGGCTGGGCTCGATAAGACGTCGTTGCGTAGTCCTATGAATGTGAAGCAAAACAGTAGAACAGTCAGTGTTTCTGTTCGCTGTGCCACTGCCGACTGGAAGTACAGTTCGTGGATGGTGCGCTTTTCTAGCACGGATGGTGGTCACGTGCTGATGACGTCCCAGGCAGCCGCTCCACAGACGGTGATGATGTGGCACACTTCTCTTGCGTCGACGAAGGCTGGGCTCGATAAGACGTCGTTGCGTAGTCCTATGAATGTGAAGCAAAACAGTAGAACAGTCAGTGTTTCTGTTCGCTGTGCCACTGCCGACTCACAGGAACACCCATTGGTGAGTTCTTAGGAGATGCGTTATTACGACCCTCGGGAAATGCCACACACGTCCCTCTTTGGGTATTGCTAACACTGGCCCTGTAATGAGGACAAAAAGTGACAGTGAAAAATATAGGAAGCAACAAGAAAGCCATAAAAGAAAAGTGAAGGGGTCAGCGTCAGCGATTCCCAAACGGGGACGTGCGGTGCTTCCTAAGGCAAGGGTCATGCCAACGCATTCTCTAAACATGCAGCAATGAATGGTTCTGTAACTTTTTATTCGACGTTCGAAGGCTTGACAAATACCGATTCGATCTTAGTAAACCCGATATAATGATCGCAGCACCTCATGAAATGCTCGCCTTCGAGCACCGCGTAAAAGCTTCAGTATTCCTTGTGTTGTGTGTATGTTCCATTGACTTGCGTGCATTGCTTGGTGTTAAGCTATGGCCGCCGGTGGTGCCACAGGCGGGCTATCGATCTACGATCCAGCCTACTAGAATAGCGATCATTGTGTGTACTTGAGCAAAAACGAAGTATAGAATGAATAGAGTTGTAATAATCATTGTTTCATGGTTTACAACCACTTTCAGTTATTTTCTAATTTCAACTTTCAGGTACGTCACTTTGATAAAGTCACTGCTGGCACCGAACTTTTCCTACGGTTTGTGGGCCATCGTCTATGATGATGATCAATTCAAGGGTGAGGCTCAGAATTTCAAGTTTATATTTTCCTTTATGCATCAATGTCTCCTTATATGGACGCCTCCGTTCCCACCGAAAATCGTCCATAATGTGAGTTGTCTATATTAACAAGACAAAAATAAATGTATTTTCCCAGTTTGTCCCCAAGGATTGTGTCCATATAGCGGACTGTCCATATTAACGGAGTCCATATTAACGAGACATGACTGTATTGAAAATTTAATGTACACCAGAGGTTCGAATCTAGTGTGTGCAGGGTGACTCATTTCATTGAAGTGTCATTTTGATTTTCTAAAGTTTGTTTTCCGCTTAACTAAATTATTCACCTTTTCTTTATTTGAGTAACACATTTTAACTAATATGTTTGTCTTTTATTTAGCATTTTCTCATAATCTGGGTGATTGGAAAACGCCCACCGGAGAGAAATAAAATGAAATCTTTATCACGTACCCTATATATAAGCGAGAATCATTGTTGCCCGAAACACTAAAACAAAAAAAAAAGGTTGATATCGTCCGACGCGGCATTTCCTTTTGTTAAACGATGATAGTGGAGAAAAGTCTGACTAAAGGGGTAGCAGAGGTAGCGTTATTGGTCAAAGCTTAAAACACAAACAAGCGCATAGACACAGATGAAAGGCGTGAAGACACGGGTCTCTTTCTGCGTTGACTGGATGAGCCGGTGGATGAGCAGGCACAGAAAGAGAGCGAGCGACGTGACGTTGCGCTTTTGGCGCCGCTTGATTGGGCCATTGGCTCGCTTTTGCGGTAAAGAAGATGTGAAAATCAATTAATGTATTTTATTACAGCGGCAGCTGTTAGTGGTTCGTTCTCCGATTTCGCGACGGCGTGAGAACGAAAAGTTTCCTCACTAAATTTGGCGGAAAAATTAATGTCACGAGAGATGAGGTGAGGAAAACGTTTATTTAAACCTAGGAGAAACGTCAGTCCCCAAAGCGGGGGCCACACCGGTCAGACACCACACTAAAGACAGTCCGCAGATAGATTTGAGCGCGAGCCTCCGCGAAATCCGTGCCTTGGTGCCGCGGAGCAAAAGGTTTGAGGAACTTGGCACGCGCCACCCGAACCACGAAAGCCGCGGCCACTCACGTCCGCAGGCCGCCCGCCGCACGATACAAAAACAGCGCGATCCCGGCCCAAGGGCCCGACGCGTCGCACTCGCTTTTAAGCGTGGCGTCTACGTCCTTGGCGGCGTGAAATTATGATGTGTATATGTTACAACGAGGACCCAAGTCCGCACCGCAACACAAAGACAAGGAGGGAAGTCAGGACCCTCGTCCGGCGGTCGGAGTCGCCGGCAGGATGCGACCAGTTTTGCATAGTCGCCGGCAGGTCTTCTGGCTGCTTGACGCTTGGCAACCAGAGCTGCGCACTCCCAAATTAGATGGTCAAGTTTCGGGAGGGCATCTGGGTCTTTGCATCGTTGGCAGCGAGGGTCGGGTGGGACATAATAAGGCTCAAGTTTACGTTGCCGGGTCAACTCGAAGCAGTAGACGTAATGAGGCGTGACCTCTCCACATGTCCGAATGCGCCGAAAAAGGACCATCTGGGGCGGACGGAACGTGTTTTCAGGTATTGGGAACTGTTCTGGAGTTCAAGAGTCGTCAAGTCGGCGTTTCCAGTCCCGACGAACGGGGCAAACAGTATTGACTGGGTCTTACATGTGGGCTTTGTCTTCGAGAAACTTGTCACCGCTAGGCGACGTGGGAGGCACCGTTAAGGTTCGCTGGGAGGAGGGGAAATGCCTATGCAGCTCCTGCCATGCAGCCTCGTGGGCCTTCTCGTTGTCGGCAATGCCCGTCTGTCCTGGGACCCAACGTATACTGACTCGACGCTTCGATAACAGTAGGGGCGAGGTGCAGTGTCGAAAATAGCAACAATTGTCGTACTCGATGCGAGTAGATGCGTCTTAAGCGCGCGAATCGTGTCCTGAAAGTTCGTAAACAACGCAAGCGTGCCGTTCTCTGGAGTCCTTACCTCATATGTCTGGAGGGCGAGGAGGGTGGCGCGGATTTCGTGTTGCTCGGTTGATGAAGGGTCGTGCTGTTGGTTATAACACCGATAGGATTACATTCAGCAGGGTCATGGGACGGGAACACCGCAGCTGTTGCAGATCGACCGGATGTGTGCAGGGCAGCAACCGTATACGCGATGACTTGCGCAGGGTCCTGAGATAATGCGATGACCTTGGCTTGGTGCTGACGGGCATAATGCTCTCGACGCTTGGCGTGGCGTTTGGCATCTATATTTTGCAGGACAGGCTGGACATGTTGCGTGAAATCTATGAGATGTCATGGAGGCTTGGCAGTCGGCAGGTCACAGCTACTTCAGTTAATCGAGCAACTGCTTTCCCCTGAGCGTATACTCAAGTCGAGGCATGTGCATGTCGAGTTGCTGCTCTAGTGTTACTCGACGGTCGACCAGGGCATCTGCGAAGCCCTGGCGCTGGTGTGTGTCGAGGGGGTCCGAGGATAGATCGGCGGACCTCGTTATACAGCATCGCAATCTTGTAGAGATGGACCCGTTCGAGGGAGTAGAAGCGCGCAGCATAGGCCATCATCGAAACAAGGATGGACGTGACCAGAATTTTAGCGATACGTTCTTCTGTGCCGCCCAGGCAATGGGAGATGCAACGGACGAGGTGTAGACCATGTCTCCATTGCCGCCAATTGACTTAACCCATTCGGCTGCCACTTGAAAGCTCTACCCGAAATTCACTCCAAGGATATTTATGAAAGGCTCTTTGCTAATGTCCCATAAGCAAAGAACCGTCGAAAGTGAGGCACAAGGCAAGGGTAGAATCCCTAGGAATGCATAACATGTACTTCGTTTTTTTCTGGGGACGGAGACATGCCCAAGCGGCGAAGGTGGGCGTGGGTAGCATCCAGACCCTCCTGCAGCTCTGTCTTCTGCGTCGAAACCGAGCCTTTGTATGTCCAGATGGTAATGTCGTCGGCGACGGCAGTAGCTCGGAAGTTGGGAATACGATGGAGGACCCTGAGGAGCGGCACCATGACAATCTTGAATAATGTCGGTAACAATACTGCTGGTTGAGGGACTCCAATGTTGTTCTCCTTGGTAGTATACTGCTACTCGCGTTAAGGCCGTAGCCCGACTTGAGGTCGCAGCGGCCGGCCAGAAATGAAGGGACAAAATCTAGTTGTTTCTTCTCTAGGCCTTGCTCGTACGTCGAGGAGACAACGGCTTCGTGTGGGACTGTGTCAAAGGCCTTCTTGATATCCACCGCGACCACGGCCCAAACTGCTGGCTGTTGGGGTGCCAGTCAGCGACATCATGGCAAATCATGGCCAGACTGTCGGAGGTACTCAAATTCTTGCGGAACCCCGTTTGTTTGGAATGAAAGATCCTGAGGTCTTCTGCTTTCCACTAAATACGTGCAAGTACCATTCGTTCGATCAGCTTTCCCTTGATAACAATAAGAAGAAGAAGAATGCTTTATTTCTTCGATGCCCCGGAACAACCAGCCGGTCAGAATATGGTGGCACATAAATCAAAACACAGTCCAGGTTATTAATAACATTCGACGAGAATGTCGTTCAGATTAGGAGCCAAAAAGATGCAACTCAAGCTCCCTTTTATGAACAGACAAATCTGAAAATACGTCAACATGATGAAACAGGTTATTCAAACAGCCGCATGGGTCGCCGTCAGCATCTGTTAGAAATGATGGAACTGCTACTACATCTGTTGCTGCATCTGCTGCCGAATCTGTTGCCGAATCTGTTGCTGCATCTGTTGCGGCCTATCTTGATGCGTCTATTGCTGCATCTGTTGCTGCATTTGTTGCTGCATTTGTTGCTGCATTGTCACTACTGCTGTTGCAATTTCTGTTGCCTTTGGGCGAGTGTGCCATGAAGATATTCCTGTGTTGCCGTGTGTCAAAGGCGTTGACTAGTTCTTCAGGTCGAGTGGATTGCGAAACCGAGGCTGCTCTTCATGACTGCTGCACATCTAGGCCATTGGCTGATGTTGCTGTGATGCACATTGCTGCTGTTGCCTGACCGCTTCTTTTTCTTCGAGGCATCTTTGAATTTTGGTTTCCTTGAGAGCTCGGCACTTCTTTACTTCTACTTCGTGCATCCTGATTTCGGCGTGCTTATTTGCTATTTTTATTGCCTCAACTTCAAGATCTTGAATTCGCTTGGCAATTTTCTTGCGGGCTTTGCCGGTAATCCGCAGTTCTTTCATCCATGTCTGAACCTTAATGCCGCATTCCGCATAATAGCCTGCCTTGAGCATTTTGTGCACCGCTGGGGCGCACAGTCGGGCTTGCTACTGTGGTCTCGTCGTCATAGGTCTCCGGCCTGGTGGCGGGGTGCGTTGGCGCCAATGGAAATCCGCGAACTTGTCTCGCCGACTCGCGTTGCTCGAGGGTTGACGCGACACTGAGCCCACGAAGCCTTGTTCTACTCTTATTTGTAACTCTCGGCTGGTTCTTCAGTATCTTGTTTTCCTCCCCGTGAGCTGACGCGCCGAGTGCGGCGCATCTGTCGTGTGTGGCTGTTATCGGGGGGGGGGGGGGGGGGGGGAGTCTTGTAGTGTGATATCGGGCGGGTTATGAGGTCTGCTCCTGCCGCGGCCTTCCGAGGGGATACGGCGTCTTTTGTTGTCTCGCGTTCCTGGTTACGGTTTGTGTGGACTCTGTTCAGAAGTCTTCGGTACACCCGCAGTTTGGTGGGGCACTTGGGATCGCCGCGATTTGGCCGCTGGCAGGAGCTTGCCAAGCGATGTTCATCTCGAGATTACTCGGAGACTGTGGCTGAGACGGTTGCGAAATCTCGGTCATGTCGCCCTCTTCAAAGCCCTTCGTCTGCGGCTAGCCCCAGTTTTTAGGCCTAGATCCGTAGCACTTCACCGGCGGTCGAAAACACATGCGAAATACGAAATTCAAGACTCACCTTGTGGTCCGACTTGTTAGAAGGAACGTCGTTTACTTTCGGAAGGGTGTTTAGCCAAC